AAAGTAAAAAAAAAAAAGAAAACGAAAATATTTGAAAAATAATTTTTTTTTTTTAAAAGGTTGGAAAAAAAGTAATTTTTGATTTGGGACGATTTTTTATTTTCGGTTTCAGTCCCAAAATTCCACTTCGGGGCATCCCTATCTCTTTCCTTTCTTTTTGATGTGATACAATCTCGATTTCTCAAGACTACATAGCCCATCATGCATTGCTTCTAGCAAGCAATGATAAGGTTACATTGTTTATACATTGAGTTGCAGTTCAGAAGGCAGACTCTGTAAGAGGAAGTGCATATTCACAGGGTTGAGTGACATTGTGTCAGTGCATTGAGGAAGAACTATGGGCATCTTTAATAAGTTTACAAAATCTGAGGCGTGTTCAGTTCCTTAGCCAAGCGCTGAGTAGCTGTTCTGCAGCACTTCAGTTGGCTGCAGAAGTTTCACTGAACACTTTGTCTGCACAGAGCTGAGCAAAATGGAGAAGGATAATATATTTGACTAATAAATACCATTTTCCAATGAATATTTGGTGTGCTCGTCCACCAAAACATTAAATTGTAGGTTCCCACACTGAATTGATTTCCTCCAGTGGGGTTCAGGCGCCTTTTTCCAGCGCAGCCAGCAGTGATGTGCAGTACCTTCCCCGCTGGGTGAGGCATTCCCCCTGCCTGCTGAAGTTCCGCCCCCTGCCCACACATCCCTGGCCAGGTGTGCCCACAGTTTAAATGGCCACTGGTGCTGTGTCCCTACCTTCTCCATCATACTCAGCGCTCTGCATCCACATTCACTTCCGCTACCAGTGCTAAGTTAGCAGTGCTGAGCGCCCACTTGCACAGCGTTCAGCGGCGGTTTGCTAACTCAGCACTCGCAGCAACTGAACACACCTTAAATCAAGGGTAGGTGACCTCGGCACGCCAGCTGTGGTGAAACTACAAATCCAATCATGCTTCGTGCCTGTGGCTGCCAGACTCTTGCAATGCCTCATGGGATTTGTAGTTCTGCAGTGCCAAGGCTGCCCCTATTTCTCTATGGCTATTAGGAGTGGGAGAGAACATGTGGAAATTTGATATAATAATACATATTTATTTGTAATTTCTGACCATAGATACTGTTTCCATTCACTAAAATGACTTCTTTGGTTATTCAGTGGAACGTATAAAGATGCCTTCCCTGTGGGATCTCCTCAGACAATAGCCATGCTGACAAAAGTTTCCACACAGGAGGGAGGAGGAGGAGAGATGTAGCTTGTGGCTGTAGTCACCTCAGGCACACAGGGACGGGTACGGCAACCTGTTGTCTCGCTGGGCCCCACCCTCCTAATAAATATGAATTTGCTAGCCCTGGGGAGGTTCCTATTACTGCATGCACAAAGGGAAGGATCCTAGCCCTCTTCATCTCTCCTTCCCTTTGCATGGCGGTTTCCATAGTCTGAAGTCCAGCTGTGTCCAGGACCCTCCCCCTTCATCATAAGCAGCAAGATTTAAAAAAAAAAGCCCCGGTCATGATTTATGAATCAATGTGACTGGCTGCTGTGTGCAGAGTCTGCAGGGGGACCGTCCGGAGTAGCGTGGCTGAGGAGAGGGCGGCTGTGCGGGCAGTGCATTGGGCTAGTGGGCGGGGCTTGTGGCTGAGCCCAGAACACTGCTGCAGCGGGCCGTATAGCAGGGGCAGCACCTGAGCGAATCTGCATGACTATTGCAAAGGTAAGCGTATGTCCCCTGTACATTGTGGATGGGAGATGAGGAGAGAGAGCGCAGTTCTCTGTGCTAATGTTACTGGATCACCAGGGCTGGGTGTGTGTGTGCGGGGAGACTGTGCATCCATAGGAGCACTGTATACAGCATAGCACAGGTAGTGACCACACCGGTGGGTGCAGTCAGGGAGCTGGTCACTGAGCTGACAGCTGGCCCCACTGACATGCCAATGGACAGTTTGCAGTAGATGTGTGCTGTGTGGAGTAGGAGCCTTGCCATGATTTTTACACACCCACTTCTCATAGCAAAAATATACTAAACCCTTAATTTGCACATCAGAGCCTGAGATAGCCAGTCTTGTCATGTATTTATTTGTCATCTAGCAGGATAGATCTGACATCTTAACATGCACTATAATGTAACCTATAGCTTCCTAAACATGTCCTGATGCACCGACCGGGCAAAAAAACCCCTTGTGTTCAAAGTGGTCAGTTCACGCCACGGCTTGGATGCAGTGTGTGTGCATCGCAACACCACTACGGTGAATATAGCTGGATGACATGTTACTTGTGACGGTTCAACTTTATTGTGACATTTTAATAAAGTTCCAACAAAAAAAAAAGTAAACAGTGCGCTTCCTCGGGATCGGCGCATTGACACTGTTCCTACAAGTGCCTCAGCACATCTGGCTGGTGCGAATGAGCCCCCACATTTAAGGACTTCTCGCAGAGCTGTGTAACTGAATGACAGAGAGGGGAATTGATCAAATATGCAGCAGTTGCCTGTAGTAACCAATCAGCTTCTTTCATTTTCAAAGCTTAACTAAACACGCTAAAGAGAGGTGCTAATTTGGTTACGGACAACTGCTCCAGATTCTGTCTGCTTTTGATAAATTCCTCCCTCTGTAAGGCGTCCCTTAGGGTGTATTTACTGATGGGGACCATGCCTGCGAAATAGCTGTTGACATGGCCACTTGTAGTCTCCAGAAGCCTGTGTGAGACTGCAGGGGAACAATTCAGGGACACAGTGTTGTCACACTATAACAGGAAGTGCCTGAACAAAGACCTTCATGGCAGCATCACCAGGTATTAAGTTAATGACAGCAGAAGCTTTAAAAAGATTGAAAATGACATTTGAAATGGTTTGAACATCTTAAAGCTCATATGAGATTTTTCGTGGTTGTGTTTACATCTACTTTAACTATACCGATCATGTGACCTAATATTTTTAAGGTGGCCATACATTGTGCAAATTTCTTGTGGTATCGGCCGAAATTTGCGCAGTGGGTGCTGCTGTTGGCACTCTTTTAGCTGGCATCTCTCAATCAGTTGATGGAAGGAACCAGTCGGAAAATCTTTGAATGAACAGAGGCAGTTCAAAGAGCTGTGGGCTCTGTTCAGGGAGTTCCGGCAGGGGCCGGCGGCCGCTGTCAGAATACAAAAGAAAGAGCGGAGATTCCTTGATCAATGCGTTCGTAGCGTTGCTGGAGGAATGTGCTGTATTTTTTTCCATTCAGCTCGTGGGTTGCAGGAGAAAAATAAAGCAGTGTATGGCCAGCCGTACTGTAGCTCCCATTTGTGGACTATAATGTGTATATTGTAAAACTCTCAGGCTGTCAGGTTGAGGGTGGTTGTTCTTGTGGATAAACTGTAATGGTTCACGTCAAGTTTATTCTTGAAATAGCTTAACGCAGATTACATTGTATTTCCCAAGACGAGCTGGACACATCAAACAAACCCAGGTTTGGCAACACCCTGAACTCCGTGCTTAATGGGTGTACGTTGCTTGGCCATGGATGTCTGTATTGATCAGCTCAGCCTACTTACATTTTATTGCAGTGCTCTTCACAAGGGAGACCATGAAGGCCAGATCTTTCCGAAATTATTTTTATTAAAGAGGCAGTAAACCTCACCTTCACCTGGAAGCAAAATCAAGTAGAGAGAAAGTTATACACTTAGAAGTGTCATAAGTTTAAGATCTGGTCCTGGAAAAGGAAATGTTCTTATATACATATGACAGCCTTTTCAGTAGTGCATTGAAGGGTCACGTGATCAGTCTCTGGTGAGCCCCTTTTAGCCTAGAATGGTGGATCATATACAACAATCTGCTGCCATGAAATCTAATAAAGTTCTGAAATATACATACATATTTGTGAATTGTATTAGTGGCTCTTTTTTTAAAAGAGGACTCCAGTGCTACTCCAGCATTGAAAGGGTTAACTACTCGCTTTTTCTCTTGGGACCAGAATATAGAAGAAATGCTCACCTGATCCTCTGTCCTGCAGCAGTCATCGTTTACCTCTTTCCCCCCTCCATTCCGGCTGTGCTGTGTCCCTCAGCATCTTCACGTCTAAAGGTGCCCACACACCTTGCGATTATCGGACGATAATCGTATGCGATCGTCTTTTCGTCCGATAATCGCAAGGTGTGTGGGCAGTGTGCAACCGCAAATACTGTACAATCGTACGACTTAAAACTTTCAAGCATGTTCGAAAACTTTGGCCGGTCGTACAATTATTGCAAGGTTAGTGGCGTTTCCGTACGTCAAAAATCGTACGATCTACACTGCTCATGCGCAAACGGAAATACGTGCGGTCGATTACCGCAATTCGTCCAGGTGCTTTCCTTTAATTACAGCTAATTGAACCTTGCGACAATCGGGGCATAATGGGGCCGCGTGCGACTATCCTACGACGGTTTGATCATCGGACGAAAAGTGTCGTCCGATAATCGTAAGGTGTGTGGCCACCTTAATGCAGGTGAATGGACTGTATTAAAGTGCCCATACACTGCACGATTCTCGTACGAGAATCGCGGGAAATCCCGCGATCGTACGAGAATCGAGCAGTGTGAACGAAGACGTGCGACCGTTTCTACTGTACGGTCGCACGTCTTTTGTCTAAGGAGCACGCTAGAAAACCAGCCGAAAATCGTACGATTGTCGGCTGGTTTGAACGGTGCTCGGGAGACAAATGCCGAACGGGCCGGTGTGCGCACGCGCACACTGCCCGTTCAGCATTGCGGTCATCGGAAGCCCGCCCTTCGGGGGCGGGCTTGCGATGATCGAGAGTACGATCTGCCTGTCCAAGATGGGCAGATCGTACGTTTTTTAAATTACTTTACAACCATCGCAAGACTAAGGTCTTGCGATGGTTGTACAGTGTATGACCACCTTTTAGGCATGATGACATTAGCAGAGCTTAGACCATTGAAGCCCGGGGGAGGAGAGGCTGCGAGGAACGGTCTAGCAACCAGGTGGGATTGAGGATCAAGTGAGTTTTTTTTTATTTGAGCCCCTAGACCAGGAGTGGGCAACTATTGCCCTGCAGCTGTTGTGGAACTACAAGTCTCATGAGGCATTGCAAGACTGAGGGCAGGTTCACACCATTTTCTAAACCAGATCTGGTCCGGATAATAGTATGAACCTGCCCGCAGTTCCAGTGCATTCCAAACCAGACAAAATAAGACAAGCAGTATTTTTCTGGTCTGGAATGGACTGCGCTGGTGTGAACAGAGGCCAGCAATAGCATAGGGACACATCAGGATTAATTTTGGGTCTGGAAACAATCTGCTCTGGTCTGGAGATTATGTGGTGTGAATGGACCCTGAGGGCCAGTTCACACCATATGCAGTTGTGATGCAGTCTGTTTATTTGACCGCTGAAGTCAAAATGCATCCCAATGCTTTCCTATGGACTTTCTTGTGCTTTATTCACACCATTGCAGTGTGAATTAAGCACAAGAAAGACCATAGTAAAGCATTGGGATGCATTTTGACTTCAGCAGTCAAATGAACGGACTGCATCTGGTGTGAACTGGCCCTGAAAATTACAGGCATGACTCGCAGAGGCATGTTGGGATTTGTAGTTAAAGCACAGCTGAAGGACAAGTGTTGCCCACCCCTGTCCTAGACCAAAACCAGCAGTTACCTGCAAGGGTTATCCCCACTGCAAGGGTTAACATTGTAGATTATTGGTGTTCCTATGTAAGTAGCCGGATTTGTGTTTTAAGGTTTGCTGGTCTTTTAAAGGGACCTGGAAGGATAGACATTGCGCCTTGTGTTTAAAGGGATCCTGTGCTGAGGGATATGTATGTGAATAAGGAGTTCCCACTTCTCTGACTTCCCAAGTTACTGCCCTGGTCTGGATGAGTGTCTTGGGCAATAAAATAAAAGCAGAGACAGCCAGGCAGCTAACATTTTTAGAAGGAGGTCAGCAATACCAGCCTACTTTATTATGTACAGTCCTGATTCTTTTTAAGGTGCAGGCTGGCTTCTCTTGTTTTTGTTTTTTACCTACCAAGTCACTGATTTGAAAAAACAAACAAACTTGCAGCTCTGGAATTCTTAAATATTTTGAGCCTTTCTGTTTATTAGCGTAATGCAGTCAGGCAGTACATGCAATATTTTCTTGTTTCTGTTTATTTGTGCATAGTAAGTGCTGCAGCAAGGGTCAAAATGCCCTGTGCTGGAAACACGCTGGAGAGTCGGACCACTGCTCTCATATGCAAGCAGAGGACTGGGCTTCCAGAGGTCGAATATTACCCTCCCCCCACACAGCACTCCAGCTCCCTATGTCTCCGATCACGCGTTCATACATTTTTTTTTTTTTTTTTAGAGAGTTTTTGTTTGTTTTTCATGCATTTTTTTTGACGCATATTTGTTTGGAACGATGAAGGTGAAATACAGGTTACAGTGCTAGGGCGTGAGGGCTTGTTGTCTTGCATGAAAATGCACGTTGCATATGTTTTTCACGTGCTCCCATTAAAGTTTATGGAACTAAAAACACATTTTGTAGCTTCAAAGTCACAATGCAGTGCAACGCACAGGTGTAAACAGTCCCCTATAGATAATGCAGGATTCCTTTTCTCCTGTGATGGCTGAAATGCTTCAGAACGCACAGGTGTGAATGGAACCTAAGCAGCAATTCACTCAGTTTACCTTAAGGGTCCATTCACACCATGTCTGGATCATCACCAGACCAGACCAGATTGTTTCTGGACCCAAAATGCA